CTCAGTAGAACATGTCTGATTCCAGCTGATTTCCATCTCAGAATCTAAGTTCCTGGCGCTGGTCTTCTCGTGGTGGGCTAATCAGCCACAATGGGTGAAACACCCTTCGGGTTCACCCAGGGCCTGCCACTTAGAGTATCTTGGACACAGCTCCATGCATGGTGTGGCCTGAGCCTCTGACCCAAGGCCAGTCTCTGTGCATTAGAGACAGAACAGTCATGCCTCTCGCCACTCTCCCCTTGTGTGGTTCCTGTAGGCTGGGGCCCCCAGTTTGCTGCTCGTTCAAGCCTAACTGATCAAGTGGAGGTGGAAACCAGCTGAATAAGCCAGAACCACTTCAATTCTGAAGAAGACGCAGCACTGTCACAGTCTTTAATTCTAGATTTGCTTGTGTGATTATTTGATTCAAATCTGTATACCCCACTAGACTAGACCGCAAGCTCCATGAAGGCAGGGACCTAGTCTACTCTGTTCAGCAAGTACTTGTTCAATAACTGCTCTGTTGGGGGTCTCCTGGTCTTGTCCCCCACCATGGGACATGGTGTATCTGAGATGGGAACCCTTTCTGCTCTGGTGACCCCAGTTTCTGTAAAAGGCGGGCAGATGCAGCTGGTTTCACAGGTGGACCTGCCCGCTGTCATTTCAGTCGAAAAATACCAAAAATAAAACCTTGTGGGGAATTGTTTAGGTCTCTCAGTTCTCATCACACCTCCTGTGAGCTGACTGCTGGCAAGTTTCTCGTGTACTGCTCTCTCCTTCCTCAGCCAGGAACAACCATTTTTGGAGGGAATTGGCAATTGAGGGACAGGGTGGTCCAAGCCAGGATTAGGACTGGTCTGGGGACCCCTTAATGACTGACCCCCAGTGTCACGCAGAGAAATAAATGGGACTTACTTGGGCAGGGAGGAAGCAGGCAGTGAAGCAGGAGTGAGCTACTCTTAGAATCAGAGATGGTAGTTTTGGTTAATGATACTATCACTTACTAGTGTAGTCCTTGGGCAGGTCACAGAAAATCTCTGAGCATCACTTTCCTCATCAGTAAAAGAAGGGAGTGGAGAGAAATATATCTTCTGCTTATTTCAGAGGTCACAGTGAGGCCTCACATGAAATCATTTGTGTCAGAGGCTCTGTGAGCCACAGAACATCATGCAAATGTGAGTGTGGTTATTTAAGAGATCCTGGGAGTTACAACTGTGACCAGGACACACATAGACCTTTGCCACTCATTCATTCACCATGTCCGGGTCTCCATAAAACAGAGGCAGAATATTGAAACCATCTCTGGGAGCAGAGAGCAGGGTCAGACAGCTTTCCGTGCTCATCCTATTCTGCAGGGGCTTGGAGGGAGGTGAGAAAGGTGTGGAAGGGGTGGAGGGGACTTGGGGGAAAGGATGCCTGGGCAGTCATGCTCGTGAGAGCACAGAGGACCGAGGCCACATGTGAGCCTCTCGCACTTGAGGCCTTTGGCTGTGGTCATGGAGTGGGACATCCAGAACTTTTGAGATAATCTGGGCAATCCAGAGCTCCAGGAGTGGGAACACCTCAGGCGCCAGCTTGGAGGGTTAAAGGTGGGCTGTGGGTAAACGGGCTCTCTATGTCAGCCTGACATATCTTGAGAGGAATCCCTGTGTGATTGCCCTGGCTGTCCATTCACAGCCACCCATATCCCCTAGGTCTGGGGAGATTCTACATGACCATGGCCCTCCTGAGCCTTTCCCAGCGGTCCTGCCTATGGTTGATGAGTGAGCTCTGTGGGGCTGATGGGAGCAGTACGTCTCTTAGAATGGGGACACAGGAAGGGAAATGCCACCGACTCTTCCCTTCCCTTCTCTGCCCAGATCAGAGAACATGGGGTCAGCCACAATCTTTGTGATCTCCTGATAGAGACATCCAGCCTCCTGAGCAAGACATCTGGGCTTACTCCTTGGCACGCCCAGTAACCTTACAAGAAACATCAAATCCTAATTCAGTTGAGGTTCTACTTTCTATCCCATCTTCCCAACACCTTCTTAAAAGCCATCTCCCTTCCCCCCAACCCCCAAGCTGTCTTTTCCTTCTCTGCCCTGGGTGTGATGCAGATTGCTAGAATATATGAGTGATATGTTTATATTTCCTGGCTGCAGGGTCCCCTCAGTTCAAATATTATTGAATGGAAAGCTCATATTTACATGCATATGGGATTTCTTTGTTGGCCTATCTTAAAAAAAGAAAAAAGTAAACTCCAATCTAGTGTACATCAGGCAGGAAAACCTTTCTATAGCGTGTCAAGTCCAACCTTTGGCCAAAGCCCAAGTTCTTTCTTCCTGTTTGGAAAAAAATCAGCCATTGTCCATGAATGAAAAGCTTTGACTCACACCTTTATTTTAAGAAGAGTACCTATGTTAGGGTTTCAATTAAGATTGTGAGTAATCCTTTAGCCAATTTGAGCTAACATTTTCTAGAAGTCCTCAGCTATCTTAGGCCCCACACACAAACAAGATTCTTTACATTAAATTGAAACATTTTAGCAACTTTTGTGACTTTGTTTTCATTTAGAAGCCCGGGGAAAATTTGTTACCCCTAGGCTTGAATTCCTATTGTTCAATTACTTGGTTTTGGTTTTGCCACAAGAGAAAATTGTTTTTCTTTCTTTGTTTCTTTTTTTTAAAAAACAATACTGAGGATTCAGCAGCAAAAGATAATAACATTTACAGCAGTCACCTGGAGTGACCAACAGTATGTCAGAATCAGTAGTGTGTCACATGTCTTTCTAGGCTAGGAAACATTTCTCTTTCAAATGGCCTAGTGTGACTGCAGCCTCGAGGTTCAAGCAGTCAGCTGCAAATGGAAAGAGCTCTAGGTGGGTGAGGTGGGCTGGGTGGGTTCCTCTTCTCTGGTTCCTGGTGATGGAAATGCATGTCATCCTGGAGTCCACTTAGCCCTTAGAGCAACTCTCTTAATTGTTGTCCAGTCTGCTGCCTGGCCCTGGTGGCTTGTGGGAAATCACAAGAGGACAATGGCTGGGAGAAGGGTCTTCTCTCAAGAGTGCCTTGGAGGCTGTTCTAGGGAGTGAATGCCCTCTGACATGGGCTCTTTTAAAGTCACCTTGTAAGAGAAGTGACCAGTGCCAAGGTGTCAGCTCTGCTCAAAGCCGTTAGGAGGAACCTACCTCCTTAGCTGAGTAGCTTCTGTGCTGTGGCATGAATGTGGTTCATAAAGTGTCATTCAATAAACAAGTGCTGATGGTTTTGCATATTTCCTTGGTGATATTTTATTATACCTTCGTCAAGGAGCCGGAACACCATGCTCGTTTAAAACCGTGAAATGCATATGTCCCTTAGCTTGGTGCAAAGCAAGCATAGATGCCCATATGCAGCCAGGTGCTGTCTGAGGTGACTGACCAGTTGGCTTGACTCTGTCATGCTCAGCCTTCTTCAGCAGAACAGCAGCTGCAGGACTCTTATTTTTGTGATGTGGAGCATGTCGGTATGTGTGGCAGGGGGAACCGAAATATCCTCTGCTGATTTTTTATACCTACCGATTTTTTTTTCAATGCTTATTTTGGAAAAGGGAAGCCCTCGCTGAGGCCAAATTCATGGGTTTTTCTGTAAATGAATTTTTTTTCCCCCTGAAACTCCATCGGTGACTGACTTCCAATGGTATGGAAAGGCAACATGGTGAACTTCTCAGCCTGCAAAAGGAGATTCCCAATGAGGGCTGAGGGACTCATGTCCAGATGGAAAGATTTTTCTAAGTGATGGACGCTTGGATTAAAGGGCCCTTAGATCACAGGATGAAAGGTGAGAAACTTCTTGGATTCCCACAGGAGAGACTTGGAGGGCTCTCAAACGGCAGGAAAAATGGTGAGAAAGCGTCAGGCTTTCAGGGCATGCTTCCTGGAGCTGCAATTGGATCAGGGGATTATTAAAATCTCTGGTCAATTCTACTTTGGGAAAGTGGGCTTTCATCTTCTCTGCTGGTATATTCTTATTTCAATCTCCTGTGTTGTTTTCTTTGGATATTTTTTCTTTTTTAATCATTAAGAAATCATTCTAAATGTTTTAAAAATTTCTTTTAAATATTTCAGTTTAGTTGTTTTGAAGTTAGCTCAATTCAAGACCCAGAGGCCCCAAAGTGAGGCAATCATGATTTCAGACACATTTCTTTTCCTCTCCCAAATTAGTATTTGTGGGCTCAGTTCTTATCTGATGACAGTAGGGAGCACAGTGTTGACTCTGCAGTTAAAAATGTTTATTGTTGCTGCACACAGGTTGATGTGAAAGGTACCAACTGCAAGTTCCAATTTGCAAATACACTTGGCTGTTGGGCTCCTTTGGGGATTGTCCTGAGGCTTTGGATTGTGGTATTTCATGGGTACTTTGCAAAGACACCACCAGAAGCACCCCTCTCTGCCTGCTGGGGTGGAATCAGTTACAGGATTCCTTGGCAGCTGGCTGTGGACACGTGGAGGGGCATTCAGGAGACCCTTTGGGAGTTTGGGGACTGCAATAGGAAGAGGCGGGAACTTAGCAATTGCTCCACATATGGTCTGCTGTGCTAGGGCACACCTGTTGACACTGTGAGTTCCAAGAAAGTCCAGGCATTAGAGGGTGATACTCTCTGCTCACAGCACCTGCCCCAATCCCTTTTTGTTCATTGGAGACAGGAAGTCCTCACTTGGCAAGATCCTAAAGGTGCCCAGATGGTCCCTTTCCAGCTAACTGTGTGGTGTGTCCACTTTCTGGGAGGGAGTGGGACCAGGAAGCCTCTGGGCCATTCCCCAGAAGTCTACATGCAAACAAGAGGTGGGTGAGCCTACGTGTACCTGTCTTCCAACTGGTCTGAGATGTGTGCCTATGGGACTGAGCCTTTCTTGATCTCCAGGCCAGTTAAGAGGGTGGCCACAGGGCTTGGACCCTCAGATAACTCCATCCCCCAGATTTCTCCTCAGTGCACCATCCTCAGACTGCATTTGTGCCTCAGGAATAGCTGGAAACCCACCTGGAGACAAGTGTTGGTTGAGTGATGTGGCTGTGAGCGCAGCTGCTGTGGCCATGGGTGACCCTGAGAAAGAGTGAGCAGAGCAGAGTGTGGGAGGGGCGGGTGCCCCTGCTCTCTGCCACATCGGACCACACTCAGAGGCTGTGGCCAGCACTGGGCATCACCCGGCAGAAAGGGAAGCAGCAAATGGAACCTGTGCAGGAGTGAGCCACCCAGGAGGCAGATTGGGGGGTTAAAGCACGTTATTGAGAAACAGCTGAAGGACTGGGATGGTCCTTCCAATCCACAGGGGCACCTGGTATGTGTCTTCAGATGCTGAAGGGAAGGAACACCACCACTACTACTAGTGGTAATATTAGCTCACACATATTCAGTGCTCTGAGCCAAGATCTACTCTAAGCACTTTAGATGTAATTTTCAAATTACCCTACAACATAGATGCCACGGCGATCCTCATTTTATAGATGAGAAGGCTGTAGATGGATTAGGAATTGTGAGTTTCATTACGAGGTAATGCAAGGAAATAATGGTGCTTGTTAGCATGAGCCAGGTTAGGTAGAACTTTCTGACATTGTAGCTCTCCAAAGAAAGGTGCAAGTGGGTGGAGGGAAGGGGAGAAAAATAACATGTATTGAACATCTACCATACACCGGACATGGCCTTGGAAGCTCCCCATGCATTATTTCAGTTAATCCTCACAATAACTGTGTGAGAGAGGGATTATTGTTCCCATTTTACAGATGGGGAAATTGAAGCACAGAGATGCTAAATAAATCTAAGAACTTGCTACCAGTCAGTGACAGCCCAGATTTGAATACAGGTATTTTTGGCCCTCGAGTCCACTGTCGCTGCTGTTTAGACAAAGGTGACGGTGCACAGGTGGCCCCGGGGCCCAGATACCAGGTGGGCTCCCCCTGCTATGCACTCCCACATCAACCTGAGTCTCACAGGCCATGATGTTCATTGTCACCGCCGGTAACTGCTCTGCTGCTTGTCTTCCCCACCGACTGCAAGATCCCTCTAGGCAGGACTGCATCTGTCTTGTTCTTGTTCAGTGCTGTGTTCATAGTGCCTGGGAATATTAGAAAGAATGAATGAACACCAGTAGAAAGCCCTTGTTCTGACAGGGGAAGTTAAAATGAGGATAATTAATTTCCTGTTGGGATGTTATACAGACAGTCACGTGTTAAATCAGGGATGAATTATCAGTGGTTCTGATCCCAGTAGCTCTTGCTTGGGGGATTGTTGTACATGTAGAATCCTAGGCCCACATCGGATCCCTAGAATCAGACTCTCTGGGACAGGACCTGGGTATCTGTACGTCGCATCACTGCCTGGGTGACTTGCTACCTGGCCAGGTGAGGGACCCCAGAGGATGAGTCTGAGGTCTAACCTGAGATGCTAGGATTCCTGACGCCACATCCTCTGCCCCAGGGCTCGCTGTCTTCCTCCTGCTGCCTGTGCTCAAGCTTCTCTCTGTCTACTGGGCTTTGAGGCTGGACCACGCTTGTGCCTGGAGCCCGAGGGGAGGTCTGGTGCCAAGTCAGGCATGGTACCTTATCAGCTGGGTATTTACTGAGCAAAGTTCAGCCAAAGCAGCGCTGCAGATCCGGGTTTAACAGATACCCAGGCTTCCGGGCCTTTGATTTAGAACCGGTCTCTGGGACCCTTATCAGTGGATGATAATGGACTTCCTATGGTCCAGAGGGCCAGTTCTTCTCACCACTGGTGGCTGACCCAGACCTGCCCTTCAAGGGCCCAGGGCCCCTCAGCCACAGGCTGTCTAGGTGGGCAGATTTCCACTACCTGGCCATGGCTGCATTTGGCTTGCTCTCCCAGGCCAGGAAGGGCCCTGTGCCCCAGCCGATATTTGGGTCGGTGATTTGGTGACAAGAAGGAAAGGAAACCTTTTCTCAGCACCAAGGTGGACACCCTCTGGCCCCAGGGCACATGGATCACCACTGGGCATTTGCCCCATATCCCAGGAGTCACTGAGAGCCTGGGAGCCACTGGTTTCAGCCCATTCATTTTGAAGGTCCAGAGAGGAGAAGGGAAGACAATTGGCAGCACATCTTAGTCATCCAATCTGTCAGTCAACCCGCAACAACTGAGCTTGATGTGGACGTGCCACTGGGGAGGTTAGAGAAATACGATGCAATATCTCACCTCGAGAAGTTTCTAAGCTAGTTGGGGGCATAAAAAATTCACCCACCGAAAGATAACTAATTCTCGCCTAGCAGACTGACTAAAGTTTTGGTGACTGCTTGACTCTGCACCTGACTTCGTAGGAAACATAGACTGTACTTCCCGTTTGCTATGTCAGACAACTCCTCGTGATGTTCCTTTGATAAAGAAATTTCAGATGAAGAGGCACAGAGAGGTTTAGCAAGGTGCCCAGGATTGAACAGCTAGATGGTGGCAGGGGCAGCATTGGAGGCCTGTGCCGTCTGACTCGGAGTCTCTGCTGTCGCTGCCACCTGTGACGAACAAAGATCACATCTGCAAGTGTCTGGCAGCTTGAGGATGTGGAAATTCCACAGGCTGCTCAGCCGGGGGGGCTGCACTAGTCTCGGGTCAGGAAGAATCAAGAGGTTGAGAGAAGTGAGGGGGGTTCTGAGCATGGCAAACCTCAGATGAGGGGGTGAGGCCCGCAAGGAATGTGTAGAGACGTATAGATAAACCTGGTCGGAGTCAGGATTTATGTAGCAGAGGGTATGCAAAGTGGTTCGAGACATGGGTTTGGATCTCATTGTGAAGTCTGTTCAATTCTGGACTAAGGTGGGCCTTGACTGAGTGCGGGGGAGCCATAGCAGGTGTGGGAGCAGGAGCGACGGTGTTGGGAGAAATATTCTAGGTAGTCTCATGTTGTCTTGCTTGTTCCGGCACGACTTGAGGGAGCAGGCAGGTCTGTGGGGAAACGGGCCTTTGCGGGGGCGGGGGCTTGTCTGAGAGGGACCGCGGGTTTCAGTGACATTGATTTTCACAGCTACAGCCTCGGAACAAGCCTCGGCCCCGCCACGGCCATACCAGGGCGTCCGCGTGAAGGAGCCGGTGAAGGAACTGCTGAGGAGGAAGAGAGGCCACGCCAGCAGCGGGGCGGCAGTGACACCTACCGCGGTGAGCGTGCTGCGTGGCCAGTGAGTGTGACAGAGCGTGTGTAAGCGTGCCAGTGTATGTGAGTGTGAGCGTGCATGTGCGAGTGTGTGAGTGTGAGTGTATGTGAGTGTGTAAGTGGGAATGTGAGTGTGCGTGTGAGTGTGTGAGGGTGACTGTGAGTGTGTGAGTGTGAGAGTGCATGTGAGTGTGTGTATGTGTGTGTGAAAGTGTGAGTGTATGTGTGTGTGTGAGAGTGTGAGTGTGTGAGTGTGAGAGTGTATGTGAGTGTGTGAGGGTGACTGTGAGAGTGTGAATGTGAGAGTGTATATGAGGGTGAGTGTATGTGAATGTGCATGTGTGAGTGTGTGAGAGTGTGTGTGAATGTCAGTGCGTGTGTATGTGTGTGAGTGTGCATGTGTGAATGTGAGTGTGAGAGTGTATGTGAGCGTGTGTGAGTGGATGTGAATGTGCATCTGTGAGTGAGAGTGTATGTGAGTGTGAGTGTGCATGTGTGAATGTGAGAATGTGTGAGAGTGTATGCGTGTGTATGTGAATGTGTGAGTGTATGTGTGTGTGCATGTGTGAGTGTGAGAGTGTAGGTGAGAGAATGTGTATGTATGTGTGAAAGTGTATGTGTGTGAGTGTGTGTGTTTGTGTGTGTATGTGAGAGTGTGTGTGGGAGTGTATGTGAGAGTTGTGTGGGAGTGTGTGTATGTGACAGTGTGTGTGTGAGAGTGTGTGGGAGTGTGTGTGTATGTGAGAGTGTGTGTGGGAGTGTGTATGTGTGTGAGAGTGTGTGTGTGAGAGTGTGTGGGGGAGTGTGTGTGTATGTGAGAGTGTATGTGGGAGTGTGTGTGTGTGTGAGAGTGTGTAGGGAGTGTGTGTGAGAGTGTGTGTGGGAGTGTGTGTATGTGAGAGTTGTGTGGGAGTGTGTGTATGTGACAGTGTGTGTGTGAGAGGGTGTGGGAGTGTGTGTGTATGTGAGAGTGTGTGTGGGAGTGTGTGTGTGAGAGTGTGTATGTGTGTGAGAGTGTGTGTGTGAGAGTGTGTGGGGGAGTGTGTGTGTATGTGAGAGCGTGTTTAGGAGTGTGTGTATGTGACAGTGTGTGTGTGAGAGTGTGTGGGAGTGGTGTGTATGTGAGAGTGTGTGTGGGAGTGTGTGTGAGAGTGTGTGTGTGAGAGTGTGTGGGGGAGTGTGTGTGTATGTGAGAGTGTATGTGGGAGTGTGTGTGTGTGAGAGTGTGTGGGAGTGTGTGTGTGTGAGAGTGTGTATGTATGAGAGTGTGTATGTGAGAGTGTGTGAAAGTGTGTGGGGGAGTGTATGTGAGAGTGTGTGTGAGAGTGTGTGTGTGAGTGTGTGTGTGTGTGAGTGTGTGTGTGTGTGAGAGTGTGTGTGTGAGTGTGTGTGTGTGGGGGAGTTTGTGGGGGAGTGTGTGTGTGTGAGAGTGTGTGGGGGAGTGTGTGTCTGTGAGAGTGTGTGTGAGAGTGTGTGTGTGTGTGAGAGTGTGTGGGGGAGTGTGTGTGAGAGTGTGTGTGGGAGTGTGTGTGTGAGTGTGTGTGTGTGTGTGGGAGTGTGTGTGTGGCAGTGTGTGTGTGAGAGTGTGTTGGGGAGTGTGTGTGGGAGTGTGTATGTGAGAGTGTGTGTGGGAGTGTGTGTGAGAGTGTGTGTGGGAGTGTGTGTGTGAGAGTGTGTGTGTGTGAGTGTGTGTGGCAGTGTGTGTGTGAGAGTGTGTGTGAGAGTGTGTTGGGGAGTGTGTGTGGGAGTGTGTGTGTGAGAGTGTGTGTGAGAGTGTGTTGGGGAGTGTGTGTGGGAGTGTGTGTGTGAGAGTGTGTGTGAGAGTGTGTTGGGGAGTGTGTGTGAGAGTGTGTGTGTGTGTGTGTGTGGGAGTGTGTGTGTGGCAGTGTGTGTGTGAGAGTGTGTGTGAGAGTGTGTTGGGAAGTGTGTGTGGGAGTGTGTGTGGCAGTGGGTTACCGGAGGGGTCAGGCAGGACTGTACTTCCTTGCTCCGAGGACACTCACCGGGGCGCGAAGGCAGCGCGCTGCGTGGCGCTGGCTGCCAGAGGCAGAGCGAGGGTGGGGCAAGTCGGTGGCTCCTTAACTGGGATGAGGGTGGGGCTGGCTCTGGGCCTGCTGAGCAAAGCCATGGTCACGGCCTGAGTGAGCGAATGACTCACGCGTGGCGGTGTGGGTTGGGGCTTCTCCTGGGAAGAGGGAGATGCCGGTCCCCTAAGTGCACAGCCTTCTTGCCAGCAGGGAACACAAGTCCCTCAGAAGTGCAGGTGGTGATGGCTGGGATACCGTGGGGTGGTTTGTTCTAAGAAGGGAGATTCCTGCCCTGTACTCTTGGAGCCTTCAGGGAGTCCCTGCATGGGGCTAGTTGCAATGGCTGAACACCAACTCCGGTCTTCTCCTCGCCCCTCTAGGTGGTGCTGCCCCATCAGCCCCTGGCGACCTACACTGCAGTGGGTAAGCGCTCCCCGCAGCCCTGGTCCCCGCCAGGCCCCTCACTTGGAGGTGCCTGCAGTTTTGTAATTTCCTTCTTCCCACAGGTCCTTCCTGCCTGGACATGGAGGTCTCTGCTTCCGCGGTGACGGAGGAGGGGGCCCTGTGTGCCGGGTGGCTCTCCCAGCCCGCCCCGGCCACCCTCCAGCCCCTGGCCCCGTGGACGCCCTACACTGAGTATGTGTCCCATGAAGCTGTCAGCTGCCCCTACTCAGCTGACATGTATGTGCAGCCCGTGTGCCCCAGCTACACGGTGGTGGGGCCCTCCTCGGTGCTGACGTATGCCTCCCCGCCACTCATCACTAATGTCACGGTATGTCACACAGAGCCAGCTGAGCACACAGCTGTAGAAGCAGGGCTGACTTCCCGACCCTGACCTTCCTTGCTATTGATCTCCACGATAACTGGGTCATCTGAGCTCTAAGCCCACCCTGTCCTCCAGGGAGACCTTCCCTTACTCCCAATGACCTTAGATATCTTCCACAAAGATGTCTCGCAGCCTCTCTGGTCATGCCTTGTGCTCCTTGGGGCTGGGAAGGTCTTTCCCTGCTTCTCTGTCCCAAGTCTCCCCAGCCCCACCGCACCCACACACACTGAGCCACCACTACCAGTTGGAAGTGAAAGAGAAACAGAGACCCGCATCCGCACGGGCACCAGAACCAGAGCCAGCTTTTCCTTACTGTTTAGATAACTTAGGGAGTGAGCCTTCACTTGAGAATGGGATTTAACAGAAGATTTCTAGGCTGAACAACAGGTAATATAACTTTTCAGAAAACTGTGTTGTGATGGAGTCAGGCACACCTGTAGGATAAGTTTTGAGTCCAGATTGCCTGTGTTCAAATCCCCACTCCTTCACTTGCTATGTGACCCTGAGCTTAGTGACTTAACCTTTCTGTGCCTCAGTGTCCTCATCTGTAAAATGGTAATACTAACAAGAGTGTCATCAGGATTGAATGAGATGATGCATGTGGAGGGCGTGGCGTAGTTTCTGGCACACAGAAAGCACTTAATTAATGTTAGTTATTAGCATTGCACCAAAGTCTGCCACAACATTAACCAAGGGTCACCTTCAAGTGCCAGATGGGAAAGGAAGGGCCTCCTCCCCCAGGAATGGAGGAGGGAAGGGAAATAGCTTTAGGTTAGTGGTGTCTGTTTGACCAAAGGAATGGGAACCCCTCAAGAGTTCTGGGGGGAAAGGGCCTGTGGTTATAGTTGTATCCAGCCCTGGCCCAGGGAAACTGTGGGAAGCAGAGCTGGGCCTCGAGTGGTCCCAGAGCCCACCCTTGGTGGTGGAGCTTGCTTTGGTTTCCCATGTCCCCTCCGTTTCCCTCCAGGGGCCAGTGTCATCCTGATGCACCTGCTCCCTGCCTCAAAGAACCTTGTAGGAAAGGCCCGCAGGAGCCCTCCCTCCCCAGGCCCACAGGGCTCCCCGGCAAACCACTGTGGGCCCCGAGTGATGGGGGATAGGAAGGAGTTAATTCACCACCTCTCCCAGGCAACTCATTTCCATGCCAGGGGACCTGAGGTGGGGCTGGGGGGTGCAGGACATAATGGTTCCCAGCCATTCCATGACCAAGGATTCTTTTCATTATTTATCCCCTTTCATCATCCCCACCTTCTGCTTTGAAAGGTTCTGTGTATCAAACAAACTGTATTTATTAAGAAGTGGTTTATTTGTTTTGCCATTTTGTAAATTAATTCATCAAAGCTGGCTGGAGCTACAAGTGAGCACTCCTGATCAACAGAGATAAGACCTGTTAGGGCGCAAAGTTGATGTAATTCTACCCCTGAGCAAAGAAACCTGCACTTGCAGTTGACCTGTATAGGTTTATGGCTCGAAAATACAGGATTTCGATTTGGATTTTTGAAAAGCTGGAAACAGTCAAGCCTTCCCAGATTCTGTCTGGTTTGAGGACGCTGGGTTGGGGACCGCTGGCTTAAGTCAAAGGAGAGAAAGTGGGTGTACAGTAGTGGAGTGGAATATACTCATCAGCCAGGACGCACGAGACTCTGTCGGCTCCATCATCCTATGGAAATCACCCTAGAGCCGTGCCACCCAGCTGCGGACCCCTGAGATCTGACTAGACAAGCAGAAGCCCAGGCCCCACCCAGACCTCCCGTGCCTCAATCTCCACTGTAACAAGATCCCCAGCTTACTCTCAAGACGCATGGCAACCGGAGAGAGCTGTCACAGGGGCGCAGGGGTGATAGGGGTACATGTTGGTCACTGTCGCACCCGTCCATGCAGAGAATGTCCCCTTCCACTTGCTTTCCTCACCCTGGGAACGAATAGTGAGAATCCAGGCCCTGCCTCTCTTGCAGGCTTGGCCTAAGGTTAGTGAGAGCTGTGCAGGGGAGAGGTATGGCTTATAGCGAACATGAGAGAACGGCCCTGACCCTTGGAGGGTCAGGCAGATCAGAGGCAGAGGAGGATGAGGATGTGGCAGACACCAGGCAGCAACAGGAAGAAAGGCCACATTCCTGCTTCCCCCAGGTTGGCATGGCGGGGTGTCACCACTCTGGTCACCACCAGAGGGATGGGAGCTGATGGAGCTGTGTTGGCCCAGGGGGACCTCAGGATGACAAAGCTCCAATGTGAAGCTAGGGCTGTCACTGTGTCTGGACAGGACAGCAGCCGCCTTCCAGATACAGCTGCTAGGCTGCCGTTTGATATGTTGTCTTTTCACAGATTTTAAGGTGCATATGTGTTCCGTATTTTAAGATCTCTGAAATAGGCATGCATTTTACATTCAGCGAAACCTAGAAAGTCCCCCCTAATTTGCTCCCCCTTTATAACTTCATTGCTGTCTGCCCTATTTTTATAGCCGAGCAAATGAGGCTTTGGAGTGGGAAGCAGCACGAGCAAGAGCAGGTAGCTAGTAAGTGGCAGAGAGGGCGGCAGGTGAGGTTTGGCTGGCTTCTCCCTTCGGGGAGACTTAGAGCAGGAGCAGGTGGAGCCGCCTGAAGTGAGAAGCCAGCAAAGGCAGAGTTGAAGGGTGGGAACGGGGACCCCTCTGAGGGCAAGGACGGGCAGGTGGCGTGCCGGGGCTGCTAACCCTCCGTCCCCTGTTTCCCCATTGCAGACGAGGAGCTCCGGCACGCCCGCCGTGGGGCCCCCGCTGGAGGGCCCGGAGCACCAGGCCCCCCTCACCTATTTCCCGTGGCCTCAGCCCCTTTCCACGCTGCCCACCTCCACCCTGCAGTACCAGCCTCCGGCCCCAGCCGTGCCTGGGCCCCAGTTCGTCCAGCTCCCCATCTCCATCCCCGAGCCAGTCCTCCAGGACATGGAAGACCCCAGGAGAGCCGTGGGTTCCCTGACCATCGACAAGCTGCTTTTGGAGGAAGAGGATAGCGATGCCTATGCGCTCAACCACACTCTCTCCGTGGAAGGCTTCTAGGGCTGGCTCCCCCTGACAGTCCTGTTCCCTGAAACTGGGATTTAAAAATGAGCCTGGAATTGAGCCCCAGGTTCACATCTGTATGGAGTAGCCATTTTATAACTACATCTTCCACCCCAAACTAGAATTGTAGACCTTCCTTCTCCCCTCCCCTCCTTCTCCCCTTCCCTCCCTCCCTCTTACCTTCCTTCCTTGCTTCCTTTTCTCTTTCTTATTTCTTTTTCCAGTTCTGTTCCTTATAAGGATTTTAGAAATTACATTTTATGCCAAGTGCTGCCAAGCCTGTGGCCTGGGGGCTTCCATTTCTGTCTGTTTTGTTCCTCAGAGAAGGCCCCTTCTCTCCAGTGCCTGCTGAGCCGTCTCAGGGCCAGTCACACCCTCTGTCATTTTGAGATGTGTGGGATGGCCTGCGGCAAGACCAGCCTGGCCAGCACGTCCTGAGAGCGGCAGCCAAGGGCAGACCCGATGCCAGAGTCCTTGAGCTGTCAGTCCCACAGTTGCTCCTTTGTTTGCTATTCTCAGCATTGGCCAGATACACAGTCCAGGCAGCAAAATCTCAAGGCCTGGGGCTCAGCCTAGTGATAGGTGGGGGATGGGGGGAGAAAGAAGCTTCCGGGTGGGTAGGGCAGGCCAGTGACAGCAGAGAGGGACAGAGGAGGGGTGGGGACACGCTGAGTGTCTATGATCTGAGAGAGGGCGTTGGGGGAAAGTTTGGGTTTTGTGGGGAGAGGAGGAAGGCTGAGGAATGATTTAGGTCCAGATTACTTGGTTATTAAGTAGGACAATAAACTCAAGAAAAACATTGCTTTAATAGGTGGTTTTGCTGCTCTCCTTGAGGATACTTGCGGGGAAAGCTGAGCTGTTGTAAACAGGATGAAGGATGTGTGTGGCGATTTCTGTCCCACCTCCAGACCCTCTGCCGGTGCTGTGTGTGCCAAGACCCCCTGAAGCCTAATGGTGACGGGGTCCTTGCTTAGTGCTATTCACATGGCTTCTTGAATGTCTTAAAAGCATCCATAAGCCACCATTCGGAGGAGCCCAGGCCTCTTCCATCCAAGCACCGTCCCTCCTGGGAGCTCCCAGAGCCTCAGCCAGAAGTACGGCTAGGTTTCATTTCATTTTTAATTTTTTGGATGGAGAAACTTCAGATTTGTAGGGGACAGAGTGCAGTTGTCACCAGGGGTGCTTAGCTCCTGATAGTGGGTGTGTGCCTTGGGAACTGGCACATGCATCTGTCAGTGACACCATTGTCACCATTAAGCACACATTTCAGTTTGTAGGATCCATGTAGATGTCATGGACTTCTCTGGGAAGTGATGGTTTCTTTGCCAATTTTAAATACAAAACTTTGTTTCGGATTTTTTTCCCTGCTTTGGGTTTATTTTGACCCAAATTTCAGTATCTGCCTAAAATCCCAGCACACCTATCTTGACTTATTTTTATTCAGACTTAATTTTTAGATTTGAAAGCTTAAGACAACATTTGGGGTGATAATTTTTCATCTTTGTTGGTAGTGACGGTGAGTAGGCAAGGGAGTGGGGGGTGTCTCAGTCCCGTTCAGTTATAAGGCCTGGTTTCCCATAAAAAACACTATGCAAGATTTTCCAGCTTACTGTTTGAGGATTAGAGAGGGTGCAGAAGCAACCGCCAAAAAAGGTGTTCAAGTCGGCAAAACCTAGCAAAGAAATAAAGTACTTTACATATTTGCTAAGATTTAAATGGTGTCCTTTTTGCTCTTTATCTTGAAGTCAAATGTCTTGGTTATAGTAGTCCAGCTAGGCTTTTCCCGGGGTTTTTCTGCTAAGATGGAAACATTTTCAATAAAGATTTATAGAGACTTTTCCATGCCGAAGTGTTTCGTTTCTTATCATATTAATCCTCCTTAGCTTTCAAGCCTCGTGTCAAACAGTGTCATTAGAGGAAGGAGCTTATGCTAGTCTTGTTGATTTTGCAAATTGATCTGTTGCAAAAGATAAAACCATCCTCACTGTGCCTGCAGCCTGGTTCTCCCAAGCAGCACCGTGGTCAGATCTCAAAAGAGGAAGGAAATCTTTTTAACTTGGTTGCTCTTCCTGTTATTCATGCTACATGAATAACTTCTTATGATACTAGGTGTCCAGGGATAAGTTCTACCATTGGCATTTCCACAGCAGGCTCTGCAAATCAATCAGTCAGGGCCCATGAGCATGAGACATCATGCAGGAGCCACGACCAGAGGAAGCCAGCTTGTAGGGCCAGGCGCCACAACGAAATGGTAATTCAAGAAGCCGATCAATCCTCTTCCAGACTACTCCTTGAAGTGAGCAACCATTTGGGGGCGCGGGGATCTCCTTTTCCTGGCGATTTTCTGAGTTACCAAGGCCCTTTGGGCTCACTACCCTCCTTGTTAGTCTTTATTGGGGTAATAGTTTTTAAATTAGCCACATTATTCTTCTGTGTGTCTTATTTCCAGATTTTGGGGGACAAGAGCACTTCCAGTTATTTAGCTCACTCTAGATTACCAGCACCATTAACCTCTTGGCTTATTCTCTGTGAAGATCATAACCTAGAACAAAGAAGGAAGGAAAGGGACTTGAGGTTATTTCTCCAGGCTCAACAGAAAGGGAAGACCTACCAAAAATGTGTTTGCCTTACCTACTTTTTTTTGAGGTAACAATATGAACAACCCGATCTGCAATATGAAGAGAGTGTCCAGTGCAATGTAGATTACTGCTTTCCAAGATTTTGATCCATGACGCTGTCCACTTCTAGCATGAAACAAAGGAGCAAGGAGGAGATGAGCATGTGGTAAGATGAAGAAGCTAGACGTCTAGAAAATAACAAAATCACACGACCAACTGGTTCAAATTCTCTGAACATCAGGCTGCACCCATCTTTGAGTGGCAGTTTGAAGACATGTTCTAAAGCTAAACATGAATTTCTTGAAATCAGAAGTCTTAGATTATTTTGCATTAGTTTACATATTTAGCATTACCTTACTTCATCTGAGTGTCAAGTTTGAGACACTCAATAATTTCTTGTTGAATTGAATTAACTTGAGAGATTCCCTATCCACTGCTCCTAAATATTGATGTACATGATCGCAGGTTGATTATAATACAGTCTCCTTTGTTAGACTTACAGTCGCATGATGCTTCTCAGATGTTTTTTTCTGAATGCTTGGATAGAAACATCCATAAGCTGCTGTCCTTAATCTGTTTATGAGTTCTTCTTTGGCTATGGCTGCAGAAGGGGTTTCGTTCATTTATTCAACACATATTTTTTAAAAAATTTAATTTTATTATAAATCGACAATTTATAATTATATAGTAATAAATATATGATATAATATATTATATAATAATATATAATAACTATAGTTATATAAATTTAATACAATATATTATGGGGTACAATTTATGTAGTTATGTTATGATTTATCAATACGATATGTAATAATTAAATCAAACTAATTAACATATCCATCACCTCAAATACTTATCCTTTTTGTGGTGGGAGCATTTGAAATTTACTCTTTTAGCAATTTTGAAACGTGCAACACACTATTATTAATTATATTCACCATGTTGTGCAATAGATCTAAAAAACAAACCACCTATTCCTCCTGTGTGAGACTTTGTATCCTTTGACCATCTCCCCACTTCCCCACCCCCAGCCCCTGTAACTACCATTTTCACTGCTTCTATGAATTCGATTGTTCGAGATTCCATATATACAAGAAAACATGCATTATTTGTCTTTCCGTGCCTGGCTTATTTCACTTAGCATGATGTTCTCCAATTCCATCCATGTTGCTGCAAATGCTGGCCTTCTTTTTAAAAGGCTGAATATTCCGTTGTGTATACACCACATTTTCTTTATCCATTTGTCCCTTGAGGGACACTGAAAGTTGATTCCATAACCTTGTTATTGTGAATAGTGCTGCAATGAACATTGGAATGCAGACATCTCCTTGACAAACTGATTTAAAATCTTTTGGGTAAGTACCCAGAAGTGGGATTGCTGGATCATATGGTAATTCTCTTTTTAGCTTTTGGAGGAAGCTCCATCCAGTTTTCCATAATGACTATACTAATTTACATTCTCACCAACAATGTACAAGGGTTCCCTTTTCTCCACATCCTTGCCAACACTTGTTATCTTTTGTCTTTTTGATAATAGCCATTCTGACAGGTGTGAGATGATATCTCATTGTGGGTTTTGTTTGCATTTCCCTAATGATTAGTGATAGTGAGAATTTTTTCATATATCTGTTGGCCATCAACACATATTTTATTGAGTGCTAACTCTGGGCTATGCGGGCATTATGGATTATTGTTGATGTCTGCTTTGATATAGTTTTCTAGCTCTTTTCAGTGTTAGTATCCATTCTCATATATGTATATTTAGTATTTGTAAATTGTATTCTTGAATTACTCTCAGAACATAATATCTGTTACAGAACATTCACAATAATAGGAATTTTGAAAGATGAGGTAAATATAAAATAAATATTGTAACTAAATATTTCATTTATTAACAGTGTAAAAATCCATTTGACCTCATTAACTATAGGTAATATTTGGAAGGAGAATCTTTGTGATATACTGATTTGAAGATCTGGGTTTAACTTCAGTTGATTTCAGTACTTTGTTTGAATGGATGTCATATCTGAAAAAGATATCACACAAAGATATTTGGATCCAAATAAAAATAGTATGTCATTGGCTATGCTAAATAAATTATAAAATCATTAAAACATTCCATCAATTATATAAAAGTGTTATTTTTCAATTTGTTTAGTAAATTTCTATCTTAGCTGATGTCAACTGGTCTTATGAACTCATCAAAGGTGTTGCCTTTTTATATTTTTAATCCTTTGAGTTAAAACCAACCGAAGTCTTTATTTGGAAACATTTTAAACAATCTAAAAGTTCTGCTTCCACTTTTTTTCCAAAGACTGATGATATGAGAGTTTTTGTGGGTGATAACCACCTATATTGTTGGCAACAATATCGCATGATGGAAATGTTCCTAAATATCTACTAAACGTCTACTTTCTAAGTGTTCTTCCTATTGCATGAATTTAGTGGTGGGAGGGTGACTTTTCACTTTACTTTTTGAATATGGAAACACAAACTGACATGTGCAAACAATAAATAAAACTGAAAAATATAAACTTTAATGCAAAAAAACCCACAAACAAAATAAAATGTCATCTTTATCTTGATTGGCTGGATTAAATGCAAATTGTGTTTATTATTTAAAAACATATCTGCAGGTAGCATATTTTAGACAGTCGACTTATCAACCAAAAAGATCAGCAAACTGAGCATGCTTGAATTTTTAAAAAATATATAATTCATTTTTAAGTTTGTTCTTTGAGGTCTTTAGTCATGAGATAATCATTCTTTTTGTGGTACAAGATTCTCACCATTATAAAGATTGTACTGTTTAGAGATACTGTGTCTATAATATTAGCCACACTAATTTTGCAATATGATGAAAGTGAATTCATTGAGGGCACCACCATCCGCCCCATTCCTGGGCATAACTTCCTCTTGTCTTTGGGGACATTCTCAAAACCATGGGTCACATATGATCAAGTGGGGACAGCACAAACATTAGGGTGACTGAGTCATCTTGGCTAGCCTGGGACTTTGGGGATTTTAGCATTGAAAGCCCTGCCTTCCAGGAAATCCTTCAGTCTAGGGTAAACCTGGACATTTGGTCACACCAGTCCATGTATTAAATATAAGTAAATCTTAATTTCTTTTTCATTTGACATTTTTTATTTTACTTTTCTT